AAAAAGCATTGTAAATTAAAATTACAGTCCACGCATGACTAGTAAACAAACAAACATCATCCCAGCCCTACTGAAAACAGAACTGGCAGCAGACGGTTCCCCGTCTTCAATAACGTTAGTTTTAACGACGCGTTCCATTTCATCGATAATTCTCTTTTCTTCGATAGCTAGAGTTGCCGCATCGTTGATTGTTCTCATTATGTTGTAGTTAGGGTATTGTTGTTCAGGAATACGCAGATGTAGTTTTCCGTTTGATGTTGTGTAGTGTGAACGTTTATTGAGGCCGTTAGCTGGAAATATCAATTATTTTTAATATTTTTTTTTTATAGAGAATACAAAAAGTCTGTCAGACGTCATACTAACATCGGAGCTGTGTGTATTATGGAATTAAATTAAAATTTAAAAAGTAGTCTAAAAAGTCATCTGTCATCAAGATCAATTTCATGAGGCCAGATACGATTGTTCCGGAGGTCTCCTCTCGATCTCCGTCCGAAACAATTACTGCCAAATAAGCAATACTTGACCAAATGAAAAGACGCGTGACGCGAATGAAGCTTCATTCTTGATATTTGTCTTTTAATTTTGTCGAATATTACTTATTTGACAGTAATTGTTTCGGACGGATGTCGGACGGAGATGGAGAGTAGACCCCCTGGTATGACTAGTTATCATATTAATATAATGTCGTCGGTTTCCATAGAGTATAGAACAACAAATTCTATATTGAAGCGAACAAGTGAAAATAAAATAAATATTCATTTTATGACTGATATTCCTGCACTAAATAGTTTTATTTAACACCGTAGATAAGCTTATAACAATATGAAAGCTTCAATTAATGCGTTTTTTAAATACATCTATTTATTACTAGCAAAAGTTTTCTTGCTTCGGGACAGACTAGGGCGTCTAATTAACCATACTGATAGGTCTCAGACTTTATCTTCACTAATTTGATTTTCTGTCATTTTTTCGCAGGAAACCGTTGTCGCCTTTACGGTGACCATTTTGAAACTATTTTTACTTTTACTTTATTTCACTTTCGTAAGGTCTTGAGTATTTTTCGTTTAACTATTCACATTTACGTCTGCTGATTACTTTGATCCACTAGGAAATTTGTATGTTATTTTTTATGAATCTTATATTTCAAGTTTTGTATCGATTGGAAAACTACATTAAAGCGAGGTGGTTCGACAGTCATCTTCCTTTTTGATATCATACTATTATTTATTGATTTGTTTTTATTTTTCAGAACATAACTCCACTCTGACAATCTCATCAATCCATTGACTTACAAATAAATGGACGACGGGTCTAATACAAAAACCACGAAAAAAATGTCCCAAGTCAACCTATTTAAACGTAGTGACATGTAAAGGAATATGAAAAAGCTAAAACGTTGAATTTAAATTGTAATGTCATCGCAGTACTGTCTAATTTTGCTTGCTTCGCTGTCAGAAGAAACAAACGAAGACTAAAGCGTGAATGACGCTCTGTATACGATTTTAAGGCCCTATAAGTTCGGACACTTTTTAGCGCGGACCCGACGTCCATATAATTGTAAGTCAATGCATCAATCAATCAAAATCTCTGACAGATGTCGCTACGGTCCGAAAGCCGAAAACTCGAGAAAGCAAAGATTTGTAATAGTCACATAGAAGAAATTCGTCGACTTAGTCCGATCTTTATATTTCGATATTTCATAATTATAATATAACATATTAATATTATTTTTTTTAAACAAAACAAAACTCACAATCAGGCAGCTGTAAGTTCTGCAACGCTTCTGTTAATACGGGGTCCACAGAAATTTGCTTGTACCGGTCTTCAAAGTCCAAGAACGCATTCTTCTCTGGTCCACATAGTCCTTTGAAGTCATCTGTGTCTATACTCCACACCATGAGACCGCCAAGACCGTAGTCTATTGCCATTCTGAAAAAGTAGTATCAGTGTTACCAACGTATCTGTGGCGGTGTTACCACACCAACCGATCGCTACTAATAATAACACTAACGCACACACCCGTAGTCATACTAGAGAAACACACGCAGACAGAGAGAAATAAATGTAGTCCATACATATGTTTCTTCCAGCCCGCGAATCCAACCAGGGACCTCTGCGTGGCAGACCAGCTTGGTAAAATCGTTCGGCCACGGAGACAGTTAAAGTCGATGTCAAATCCATGCTATTAATCGGCGTTTGTCGATTGGTTTGGGTAACAATAAGTAATATTTTCATTATTCCCCGCAATTTGGGGAATTCTCCACAAATTGGCAACGCTGCTCGTAAATAGCGTGATTGCAAGGGCTAACTTGATTATAACGCCCCAAATAAAATCCTCGGGCCTTTTTTCTTCCCATTACCTATAGCCATGATCGGTAAGAATCTATTTTTAATTTAGGTTAGGTACTTTCTCGCATAGGTCAGGTTCAAGTTCAAGCAAGGAGGTTACTTATGTTCAAAATTAAAGCATTCGCTTAAAATGTAATTTAAACAGAAATTTTATTGCAACTGAGCACATACTACTTAAATACTTATTATTAAGAATTTCTTTAATTTGATTTTAATTTTGCAAATTTTCGTTTTTTTACATTTTAGTGGAAGTTGTATTATTTACGGAAGAATTTTTTTGTAAAAAATACAAAACTCGAGTAGTGAAAGCCCTCAGCCTTCGACTTCGGGCTTCGTGAAGACCCTTGTTCATATTTCTTATTTACCGTCAATACATAATGTACTTTTTTATATTAAAACTCGCCTCAGTAACTTAATTTAAGCGCTATTTGAGGTTAAAACCTAAGTATTAAAAGTCGCCCCCAAAAAGGAGCCAAATTGTAGTTGATTTATTCAATGCATTCAATAAGAAGGAACTTACTTGACTTTAAGAGCAATGGATCTGCCATTGTCATAAGTGACGACCCGTTCCACATCGCGAAGGTATGGTGTAGCGGATTGTTCATGCCATTGTTGAGTCCATTTCGATGATGTATTTGCTAATTCCATGCAAATCTGAAATTGTGCAAGTTAGACGAGAAATTAGTAGTAATTAGAATTGCGCCAATATAAAATGACGACCTAGGCGGCAGAAAAATTTGCACTGTGAGCGTTAGATGTGGACGAAGGATGCATTTTTTTGAAATTATCGCGTGTGCAGCGCGACATAACCGTTAGGGCGTGTTTCCAATATGTCGTAACGTTTTATTTATCGTTGGACGACTGTCGCATGTAGCCTGTTCCCATATCACGGCTATCTGTCGTGACTGTGGCGTAGACGATTATTTAATCGATGAATGTGGTGTCTAGATGTCCCCATTGTCACGACAGTCTGTCGTTCTAACGTGAAAAAAGTCGTGAATAACAGTTAATCGTGTTGCTCTATGTGTGAACAACTTCATTTAAATATACAAGACACGATACTTTAAACTGCACAACTATTTGTCGTCACGGCATAACTGTCACTTCTCACACTACTCTCTCACGACTCAGTTAAGCGGTTGGCCTTTATTAGGTATTACTTTTAAGAGTTAACTTACCTCATTATATCCCATAAACCCAGCTTCTCCAGATAAAGGTCCCTTAAATCCTACTTTCTCGGCTGGTGTGCGGCCGAATTCGATGATTTTTGTATTAGGGTCTTTAAGAATGAAATTGCGCCCGTACATCGGTAGACCAAGTACTAGTTTGTATGGCGACACGCCTTGGGCCAGCATGTATTTTATTGTGAATTCCTGAAGTGAAAAGAAGTAGGGTATTATTAAAAAATGGTGGAATGGCGCCCAAAGTGGGACTTGATTTAAAATATTTAATCACTCACTATTGGCACCGAGACATATTTGATGGTGGCACTTCACATGGCTATTTGCATTTGCGTAGGTATTTGATATATTTAGCAAACTTTCACCATGTGTAGATAGCATGTTTTTTTATAATATCAAGTGACGGAATGAACAAGTCGTGTGCCTGTGGTAAACTACGCGCCTGTCCATTACAGGTGCAGTGCCACTCAGAGCTTCAAATCGCATGAGGGCGCAGTGGCATTGCCACTGCGCCCTCCCATGTGCCTGTAATTTCACCAGCACCCTTAACCTTCAAAACCGGAGCACAGTAATGCTGACTTACTGCTTGGCAGCTCGGCAGAAATAGGTAAGGTTCTTCTCTGGACGAACTCTTTCACAAAGACCTCTACTGCTACTAAACTACATGTATGGCAAAGCATTTGCCTTGTTTGTCTATTCGACAATACAACAAACACTCGTTACCGCACACTGGTCGGTTTCTTGACGCACGTCAAAGGAGTCAAATAGGCAAATATTTATTTATTTGAATAACTTATTTGAGACTAGCAGTTTTCGCTGGTATGGCTCCGACTACCTACAAAATTTTATTCAAAAAATTAAGAGACTGTCTGGGAAACCCAAGCCGCTTCCTTGCCCAACGCATTAACATAGCCTTAGAAAAGGGGAACGCTGCCTGCATCTTGGGCACCTTGCCACGGGGACCTAATTTTATTCATATAATTAAAAAATCCTAATTTTATTTTCTAATATTTAAACTTCTATTGTCTTTTTACCTTTCCTGTATATTCTCAAAATATAAATAACCCTCTATTTTGCGTCAGGGGCTAATAAAAGTGCCAAACTTACCACGCTCAAAGGGTCACTGTCACTTTGACCCCTCAAAGGGGCGTTGGCACCCACTACTTGGTCCCAAGTGCCGTGGTAGTCGTAACACATCATATGCATCAAATCCAAGTACCGACTAAGTCTGGCGAAGTCGTAGGCTGCCTCCATCGTGGCTTTCCCTACACCCAAAGCTGCTGTTAGCATGTAACCGTGTGGCTCGAAAGCTTCTTTTAGTTCCTGTAACATATATATTTTAATTGTAATATTAAGTTAATTGAATTAATATTATTTTTATTCATTTGATTTTTATTTTTTTATCCAGAAAATTAATAGACTGTCTGGGAAACCCAAGGGCCGGCTACTATGCCCAACGCATTAGAATAGCAATACAAAGGGGGAACGCTGTCAGCATCTTGGGCACCTTGCCGCGGGTACCCAATTCAAAGGCAAATTACTACGCCGTGGACCCAGCCAACGCAAGCAAACGAAAAACGCAAGTGGAAGACTCGTGAACCCGGTATAAAACGTCGTAACTTTCACAACGCAGACATTTTTGGTATTCTTTCACAATCTACCAATAAAACTGTAGTTAACAACTACACGACTATTTAAAATTTTGCGAAAACTGGCAACCCTACAAATGTCATTTTATCCGTCTTAAAAACTAAAGACTATACCAATTAATTTATTCCCGTTTTGGTCCCGACAATTTAAAAGGTTTATTTAAAGGGAGAACTACTCTGCCCTCTTTTCTTACGTCCCGTAGGTAGTGCTTACCTTAACAAGAGAGACATAATTGACTTTGTCTATTGGTCTTCCATCTCGTATTGCTGGGTACTCCCAATCCAGGTCCAAGCCGTCGAATTTGTACGTGCTGGAATTTTTATTTATTTATTTGATCAGTCAACAATGTTACACCAATACAAAATCAGATATATACATGCAAAATCTTAAAACTAATTGCACAACTTAAACTGTAAATTATATAGCAGAGTAAAAGGAATTTAGAAAAGCAAAAAATTAACCATACAACAAAAAATGAACTGAAATCATGTTTAACCAAGCAAAGCATAAAATAATAATAATAATAATAATAACGCACACACTCAACATAGCCCCGCACTAGGGAAACCCTGTGTCGCGGGTGCCATGGACACATACATAGACAAACACAAATTATACCCAAACTCACGAGAGAAATAAATGTAGGCCATACAAATATTTCTCCCGGCCCGGGAATCGAACCTAGGACCTCTGCGTGGCAGTCCGGCATGGTAACCGTTCGGCCACGGAGGCAGTTAAAAGAAATTAAAAAGAATTAAGTTGACAGATAAGAGTTTAGGTGACGACATTACGCGTTTGGTTTTTATTGCAAAGAAATAGTGTAAAGGAATAGCGACATAATAAATGAATACCGCAATGAATGCTTAAGAAAACAAAAGAAAGATAGCGCTCAACCAACAAACGGTGAAGAGAGAGCAGCCACGTTGAGGCAACGGACACTGGTTCGTGTCAAACCGGATCGAAGGATTTTTTCTTTGCGTTTGTCGATTTTTGTATTGTATCAATATTAATAACACACTAGTGGAGTATAAAAAATAGATATCAATATCATATAGAATATCATGGTATAAAAAAACATTATGATATTCATTAATTTTTGTAGCTGTAGAGCTACAAAAATAGAGACGTACTGCCACCTTACCTATTTCTGCCGCCAAGCAGTAGTGTGAGCATTACTGCGTTCCGGTTTAGAAGGGTAAGGGTGCTGGTGAAATTACAGGCACATGTAACTTGTCAACTTATGGTCTCAGGGTGACGGACGCAGAGGCAGTGCCACTCAGATCTTTGTTATTTAAAGCTCTGAGTGGCACTGCAACTGTAATGGACAGGCGTGTCGCTTACCACCAAGCGCACGACTTGTTAGTCCCTTCACTTGGTATTATAATAAAAAAACAAAGATCGAACACAAAGAAAAACTCCTTTGATCAGACAGGATTCGAACCTGTATCTGTTTTTGCCAACCGCTCTACCAACTGGTCTACAAATCGAGTCAGCACACCACCGTGATTGTTGCAGGCCATTGCTTTTTGGTTTTAACGGCTTTTTTGCCGTAGTACCATCTGTGAGAAATCCATGAAAGCTTTTCTTCACTTGACCAGGTACCTTTACAGCTACAAGAGATGTCGCTTTAGAAATTGTAATTAATCATGATATTTTACTACCATGATATTAATTCATTTTTCAGAATTTACTCCACAAAGCTTGGCGGCAGAAACAGGTAAGGTGGTTGCACCTGGACGACCTCTTTCACTAGCAGCTCTATTACTACTATAATTATAGAAGTGATTTAGTACTCACTCCAAGAACACCAAAACGCTCTTTATAAACTTCTCTCTGTTCTCTCTTGTTTCTGCCATTCTCGAGTACTTGATAGACCCCTCGTTCCATCCTCCGATGGCAATGGTCACTTTCAGGTGGGGATAACGCTCCTTTAACGCTACTATGCGTCTGTAGCCTGCCTTGGCGTAGTCTTTTTCCAGATCTTGCCAGGGATCTGGAAGGGATTACAGTGATAACAATAAATAAATGGAAATGGACCTAATCCGTGTATATTTAGAGCTACAGAGACGGACTATAGCCATGAAGAGTAACATGTTGGCGCGTCGGTTCGCTCATTGCTCAGTTCGGCTTATTCTCAGGCGTTCTACACTAGTAATAGATTTTTTGTTTACAATAAACGAAAGGTATACCTTTTACCGCTGCGTCTTTTTTTAGAGAACGGTATTAGGCGTTAGTCGTTCGTCGTCGTTCGGTTATTGCCGCTAGATGGCAGCACACTATACTATGCGAGCTTTTGATGGACTCAGAGTTCAGTACAACAATGCATTTCGTGCTATGCTGTGGCTTCCCTGGCGGTGTAGTGCGTATGGCATGTTTGCCATGAATAGAGTAGATGTTTTTATCGCCATAATACGAAAGAGACATTGGTCTTTTCATAAGAGAGTGAAGGAAAGTAAGCGATACGTGTTACTTTTTAAGTGAACACTCTATTTTTAAAATATAATTACACTATTATTTGTAATGTAAATTCAATTTACTTGTTATGTAATGTAATGTTATAGGTACTGTTAAATTTATTAATGGCTGTATACCTAAATAAGGAAACATTTTATTTATATTTGTCCTTTCAAACAAATCATAGTTTCGGGTTCAGTTATTTGTTATCACCGGTGATTTGAATAGGGGCATAGTTTTTTAAACTTCGAGGAACAGAGACAGTGAATGGAGATTATCATAAAAAGTAAAAAAAGAGAAGTTCAAAAAAAAACTTAAGTTCTGACGTTATTTGGGATAGGTAGGTAGACTATAAATTCTGTGGCTCTAGTGAAAAATGGGTACTAGTCAAAAAACTCAACTTTACAAGGAGACGCGAAAAACAGTTAAAGCTTAATAGAATATTAAGCGTTAAGCGTTTTTGGCCTTTCCTTGTAAAATTGACTTTGCAGTTGCACCCGTTTTTACTAAAGCCACCGAAACTTGTTGTTACAACCACCAATTTTTCGAAATATTTAGGAAAATCCCGACAAAAAAAATGTTGTCATAAGTTAGTCTCCACTTTCTGTCTCTGTTCTTGGAAGTTTAGGTAAAAAATATTCTATCTATTACGATCACTGGTGATCACAAAACAATAAATACATTACAAGTACTTAGTGGGCGTACCACGTGTGCTAATAGTACGTGGATTTCGACACACAAGAATTTAGTCCACCATTTTCGCTTTCCACAGTAACATCGAAAGCGAAAATGCCTTTAAATACCTTGCAAATCGTAGAAAAAATGCCTTATTTTGCTACTTGGAGTGAAAAAATTATAGACTTTACAGATTATCCATGGTGATGTTCCATGTCATCGTTAAGTCTTATTTTATTTTTTTTAATAAATTTTCCATTTATGTTCATCGTCTCACACTTCACTCGTCAACTTAATTTAGGCTTCTTAAATTGTGTTTTTTTTATATATCAATTTTTATTTTCTTTATTTTTTATTTGAAATTTTTAATCTGATGTATACAATAGGAATAAATGCACACACACACTCAACATAACCCCGCACTAGGGAAACCCTGTGTCGCGGGTGCCATGGACACACACACACAGACAACAACAAATTACACCCAAATTCACGAGAGAAATAAATGTAGATCTTACAAATATTTCTCTCGGCCCGGGGATCGAACCCGGGACCTTTGCGTGGCAGTCCAGCATGGTAATCGTTCTACCACGGAGGCAGTCAGCCTAATAGGCTCACATTGTATTTATTACTATAACAATGTATGTAAATGCTGTTGCTGAACCAATAAATATATAAATAAATGGTAGACACCTTTAACGCTGCAATATCGTCGACTTTTTTTGGAGAACGTTAATAAAAAGGCGTTAGTTCTTCATCGTCGTTAAATCATCGTCGTAGAATTGCGCACACGCAATTTCTTTCAATTGTGAAAAGTAACGTCGCAACAGACAAATAGAACGTATTTGATTCAATATCACTTCACCTTCTCACAACTTACCTAAACTCTTGATCCCCATCGTGGCCTCGTCTAACCCAGCAAAGGAATACACCAGGTGAGTACACAGGGACGGTTCTAGGTCCTCCAGCGAGAAGCCCCCTGGTGCTGGCCTGTAGACTGCCCACGACGCCACGTAGCATACTACGTGTTTGCCGTGCATAGGACCTAAAAAAGAACCATGCATTTTAGTGTTACTGCCGTGTCCAGCGTTCATGGATGACAAGCGTGGAAGGGAAGTTTTTCAAATTATAATAATAAATCGTTTATTTGTCTTAACACATTAATAAATAAGATTACACTTCACATTTAGTGTGGTAAAGTTATTATTGTAACAGTTGCAATGCTGCCTCAGAGCTTTAAATCGCAAAGGTCTGAGGGCAACTTCCACAGCGCCTGTTACCCTAAGACATAAGTTGACAAGTCACATGTGCCTGTAATTTCCCCAGCTGCAATTTCCACATTACTGCTTGGCATTGCTGTTGCTTAGAAATAGATAAGGTGAGACAATACTGCCCTGCTAATTGTAAATGCCGCAATTGCAAAGATTCGGAGAAAAACGCGAGAAACATATTTTTAGATATTTATGCCATATGTTTTATATATTTAGATAAATAAAAAAATAAGAAGCATTGAACCTCGATAAGTCAAATATATAAGGGGTCATATAAATAGGACGTATAAAATATAAAAAATAAAACTATTTAAATTTGAGGAATTTTGAAACTAAACTGTCATTTGAAAACCTAAAAAATCGAAAGTTTCTGATTGGTTCTTTTTAACCGACTTAAAATATTCTCAGTACAGAGTACTAAAAAAAGCCGACCTCAAAAGTCAAAAAGTCATTCATCCCCTAGTTTGCCACCCTTAATATTTTCTTCAAATTCAAATGGGACCACTACTGAAGTACCCTCTTTCCAACAAAAAAGAGGCATCAAAATCGGTTCATAAATCCCGGCCGGAGTTATCGCGTAACATATAAAACACACAGTCGTCACCTCCTCCTTTTTTTTTTGTCGGTCAAAAACGAGGAGGTTTTCAATTCGTCTGTATTTTTTACGTATGTTACGCGATAACCGGACCGATTTTGTTTTTGTTTTGTGAACCGATTTTGACGATTCTTTACCTCAGTAGTGGTGCCTTTAAATTCGAAGATAATATTTCACCCCTAAGGGTGGCAAATAGGGGATGAATACGGTTTCGCGCACTTTCCGGTAACCGATTTCAATAAAATTTGGCAAATAAATGTAATTCTACGAACTTTTGAAGTTGGTTTTTTTAGTACCTACTCTGTACTGATCGTTATTAATTTGTTAGTTTGTAATTAATTGTATAGATGGCACTTACTTGAATTTATCTTCGAAATTAAGTTTCGTTTTAGCACTAACTTTTTATTTAAAATGTTAAAAGTGCCTGACTCAGGTTCTTTGCGAATTTATTATAGTGTTATTGTGTATAACCACCGTCTGAACAAAAGCAATAACCTTGACAATAATGTAACAGCTGAAATCAGTTGGCCTTTTCAAATATAATTACAATCGCATCGCGGATTTACTTGGTGCCATCTAGTGATCAGCTTTAAGAATCAAAATAAGCGTCTGAATAAACGGAGTTACGAGTGCGACATTCATTTGTATGAGATTGAGTATTTGATACCATTTATTTGTGATATTACTTTTATCATTAATAAGATAAGACTACTACCTCAGCTCGAGTGCAAATCTTTCCCGTACTAATACGGTTCATTTTACTTGGAACGAACGGCAAAGACACTGGTTTTATTTCAGAATTTATTTTTTTCTCAAATTCAATTAAAGCCAATCAGTAATCTCAGAGTACAGAGTACTAAAACAACCGACGATATTTGCTAAGTTTTATTGAAATATCCCCTAGTTCGCCACTATACAGGACTTGACACCGGAAATAATAAAAATAGGTTCTCACTACTAAAAGTATATTGATAGATAAACGCCTTGAATTGGAGAAATAGCAAAATCAACCATTAAAGTAATTGCTCCTAAATTAATGTTAGGCGCTATTTATGAAGATGAATCTTCATGCGTGAACAGCCACCCTTCGAGGTGGGTGATTTTCTTCAAAATAAAATGGGACCACTATGGAAGTACCCCCTTTCCAACAAAAAAAGAATCATGAAAATCGGTTCACAAATACCGGAGTTATCGCGTAAACATACATACAAAAAAAAAAACAAAAAAAGAACATACAGTCGAATTGAGAACCTCCTCCTTTTTTGAAGTCAGTTAAAAAAATGTATATCGTATACTATACGTATTCTATTTAGTTCAGTTGATATTAAAAAAATCAAGGTATATGTAAGCATCTATTGAATACAGAGCTTTTCTTGTAAAATTTCGAGGTAAGTTTGTGTTTCTTTTTTATCGTGGAAATTTTTGGGAATCGTGTTTTCACACTGTATATCCACAATTTTACTATATTTTTTGTCCAAAGTGATAGATTCAACACTTTCACTGTTAATCGGAATCAACCAAAGCCATTTAAGGTTGCGTAGACTCTTAAAGCATTTCACAAAGTTCACATTACACTCTGCAAAGTCGTGCGAAGACATATGTCCAACATAGTTATGCAAACAAGAACCAACTCACACCTCGAGTGAAATTGAGTTAGTTTTTAGGTAGAACACCAGACGTGTTCTTTACTCGCTCACAAAAGGTCCTGGCAATATACCAAGCCAAAACGGAGAAAATAAAAGTCCTTCAGGGTACCAACCCTAAATAAGTAACTTTTTAATAGCTAAAAAGGACCATGCTACTTAACTTCATATAATGTATTTTTTTACATATGCTAAATGAATCTATGTCACATCTACTGAAGTAGGTACTGTAGATCTTTATCGTTTTTATTATTAAAACTAGAACATGGTTCTCGTTAACGAAATAAAAAGATACATAATGTTTTGTATTTATTGCTATATATAATATAATAGTTTCCCTATATCATTCTCAATGCTACACATAACTCACGTTATTTGTCTCAAATAACTTACCTATTTATTTCTTCACACTGTTTTTACAAAAATCTAATTATCTCGAAAGTCACATTTTGTGGGTTGGTTCTAGTTTGCATAACTATGTTCAATTGTTCAGGGACTATTGCTTAAAAGTTTTATTAATATAAACGTTTGTTTAAAGGAGGTCTATGCCAAGCAGTGGCACGCATGTGTATTACCGAATTATCGCATTATTATTCTACTCGTACCTATATTAACGATAGCGCATATGACCTTGATGTCTAAACTGGAACCGGATATTTTGTTATTGTAATTGTCCTATGGAGTTAGTTTCAATAGAGACAAAACCGGATACGTTATAAGATAATAATAATAATAATAAAGTTTATTTGACAGATTGACAGCAACAATTTTATTATAACCGCGGTCTCCAGGCTAGGCAAGCCTGCATCGTGGGGTTCCAAACAATCGATTTACATATAATACATAGCCTCTGAAATTAACAGAAAGTATTACAAATATTTAAACAAGTACACCTAGAACATGTTGTGTTGGAACAATATTAATATTTTATTATATATGTACAGCGATATCTCTAGCCAGGGTTGGTGGCTGTAAAGTTACCTAACTGTGTTGACGAAATATTTTCATACATTTCTCACAGATGGCGCTACGGCTAAAAAGTCGTTGAAAATCAAATACAAGGATCCGACAAACTAGTACAAAGAAAATTCGTGAGTTCCGCTGGTTCGTTCCGTGGCTTAGTCGGCGTAGCGTCTGGCACGGTTTGCTAAAAGACGTCAGTTCGAATCCGGCCGGATCGAAGGAATTCTTTATAAGTGTTAGTAATCTCTGTGTTAATAATTATAATCCTTAATAAACTAAATAGCAATGTTTTATAATAATAAGTTCACAATGCTGCTACGACATGTAAACAATTAAATTCTCAACGAAATCGTACGTCATGCCAAACAACCACTTTTGCAGTATTTTTTGAGGATGTCGATCTATTTTTGTGCGATTGTAAAAGAATCCAATTTTTTGGGAATACGCAATATAAGTTTTGAAGTAATGATATTATCTCATTATTATTAACGAAAATTCTCTGTATCAGTAGGGCCAAAATTTTAGCTATTTTGAACATTTTCTTTTCGTGTACATTATGGCTGTTAGAGATTGGCTTGATAATAATTAAGACAAATCTGAGTTGAACTCATGTTTTCTTTTGAGAAATTAAGTTAAAATTGTTCGAATAAAGTTTAAAATACAAATGGTCAATTTTGGTTTTTAGTGACTCGGTGTATGTCATGTCAATGTACTCGTATGAAGATGTTACAGCAGTTGCAACACTTTAATTTTATTTGTAAATAAACCCTACATCTTAAGGTCGTGTTTAATGACTTTAGCAAATTCTGATTGTACATTTTACACAGTCAGGAATTTTTCGAAAATTTAGCATTTTGTTCGTGAATAAATAAAAAATCTCAAACAAAGGAGATTTTTGTAAATGGTCACACTACTATCATACCAAATTTCAATCAATTTAGTGCAATAGTTTTCAAACTAGAGTGGTTTTTAGAGTAGAGTATTTTCAAAAAAGTACATAAAAAATCATAACTTTTAAACTATTGATTTTCGAGGAAGTAATGTTTATTTTAAATTGGTCGTTACAATGTTCTTGCTGTAAATTATCCACCCTGTATAACAATAATTTAAAAAAACTAGTCGCTACTGTCGACGGATGACGACAGTTTAAATTAATACAGAAATAAATAAAATTAAATATTACATAACATCATATACTTTGCTCTGATACCAAAGTAAGTAAATTAAGCCCTTGTATTATGGAAATCAGAAACGACAGTACCAGAAACATTCAGACCCGAGACAATATAAAAAAGTCCCGGGACCTCAAAGAAGACGGCATCATGAAAAAAACCGTGCAAGCCAATCGATCACGGAGGTCTTCAAATTTGTCTTGACATGTACGTTTTTTAGACCTGCAGTCCAGATTTCGTCCGTAACAACATTCTAAATAAAAAGTAAAATATTCACGTCGCAATTCTCTAGCAAAATTAGTTTTACGACAAAAATGTTATTGCCTGGGTGCTTATGCATTCCACTTCATCTTGTTACTGAAAAGTCTGGACTATTTTGCAAATTGCACACTGACAATGATAACGTCATAAACTTAATTA